ATTTCTCTTTTCAGAGTCATGTTGCACGAGTTCGATCAATACCTGTATATATATATATAGTGATTGACATAAAATGCCGGAAAACTGAATACGGAATTATGCGCAGTGCATGCCTAGTTCAATACCGGTTACAATAACTTTTATTATCCAACACTTGACTTTCGTCATCATCGTACAATGAAATACAGTTGAGTGAACTTCACTGATCGCTGTCAAACTCTCGATGCATATAAACTTAGTGATAATATGTAAAGTGAATACGGATGAAACCTATTCTAAGGAAGGGAGAAGAAAGTGAACATCTATGGTCATCACACAGTACACAATCTAACCGTACATACATGCCTTTTCAAGCATTCGAGCCTGATAAGAAATGACAACAAGAACGCCACTGCTTTCGGTTAGCTGTAATGAGCTTCAATGCTTCCAACCAGCCAGTTACTGAGTCTTTCAAACCCCAACCTGGAAGGCGCAAGGCACCTGTTCTACCTAATAGCTCTGTGCATTTCTTCATGCCTTGTCTCCGCATCATTTGTTAACCTCCACTTTCGGCACACCCCATCGCTTCTCATTCGATTATTTCTCGAGACCGATCTGTCCTGCAGGAATAACAGTGCTCAAACCCAATGGTCATCTGCACGTTATGAACAAACTTTTGCAATGCTCATTGTGGCATAAAACAACTATAGTCCAACTAATATAAGTTAATAGCAAGATGCCCTTGTTTCAATGGGATCCAGTGTCCATATACTACATCGTCCGCCATACTACTTAATGACGAGTGCTTGGGTACGAGGAAGAAGGAACATGTGGTCTTGGAAAACAATCAGAGTGGGTGTTTGTAAATTCAAATTTTGTCTATCACAAGATTGCGAACCACATCCATCCTACGCGTCTCAAGGGCTAGTGCCGGGTTGGCGCACGATTCACTCTGAAGAAGAAAGACTAGTTACCGCTCTTCATGTTACACGATGACATTACCGAGCATATGCACACTTATATTCGTCGCAATAACCTCATTTGCAACACCGGATAATTTTGGATAGACGACCGGTTTCGTTGTTCTTGCCGCTCGTTAGACATGCGTATGTATGTGTATATCTATATGGTCAGCGTATGCTTAGATATGTTCCCTTGTGGCATCGGATCCTTTATAAAAATCTCCCGCCTAAAAATATTCCCAAAGGCAGGTAAAAAACGTTTTGGATCGCGAATTACACGAAAACAAACAATCCACCCTCCACACTCACAGAACTCTTCGGTCAACCAGGGAATGAGGAGCATAGTGACGCGTCTGAACCATCAGACAATTGCATTTTTAGGATGTTCAGTCAAACACGGTTAGACACAGCGCCATTTAAAGACGAATTCTTTTCCTTTCGCCGCTAACATATGTGATTTTCCAGGTATTTATATCAGGCTCTTCTCACTATATTTTTCTAGGTTATTATTATTATTGGTACTCAGGAGAAAAGTGACGGTGATTAAAAAACTTCAACTTTCGTTTCCGACTGTCTTTTTTATTATACACATTTTTGTGTGGTGAACAGCAACTGTGATGAACCCCACAAGGCTCCATTAGGTTAGGCGTGGTATTGTCCTACTGTTCACACACACACACACACACACACACACACACACACACACACACAGACGCATTTGCTGATTATTATAGCTGTTCTTCGTTATATCTATCTATTGGCAGTGGTGGTCCGGTGGTAACGTCACCAAATTATCACCTAGGGGGTGTGTGTTCGAACCCCACCACCACCGCCTCACTTTCTCCATGGCAACCCTTTGATTGGCCGCTCCCCCCTTCCTGAAAATTGTATCATTGTGTATTCAATAAAAGGAAGTAAAATTAAATTAAAACAATTTTTCCCACTCTGTACTGTATTGCCTCTATTCTTTTATTGCCAGACCTACCCAAGCAGGATACACCAAAATGTACTGCTTCAGCTGCCGGCGAATCATCCACTCAATCCACCCCATCGAGTAATTCACCGGTTCAACGGATGCGCACTCGAAATCAGTCCACCTCGTCCCGTCCTTCCTCACCCACATCGTGTCCAAGCCCCAAGCTCCCCAAACTGTCCGACACCACCAAGAAGCTCAGATCTCCTCCACCCGACCAAGATCAAAAACGCAGTCAGTCAGATCGTTTGGGAATAAGTGATTCATTAGAATCAGTAACCGTGAGTATCGGAGACACTCATATGCCCACTGAACCAGCTAATCGCTCTCATCCGATAGATACTCTTGGTACAAGTACAGTCCCGGACGATTTTTCTCAAGCACTGTTGGCTCTGCTGGAACCCACTTATCCTAAAGAACTGATTGATTGGTTTGATCGTTTGTCTAGTGAGGAACCGCATGTGTCCGAAAGTACGATTCCACACGAAACTACGTTGAATGCGAAGTTGGCAAGTGTTCAATCGAAACCGAAAGCTGACCACTGTTCCGTGTCCCTCAGTGTTGCTCCAAACCCAATCCCCACACCCTCGGTTATCCCATCCAATTTGGTAACCGCGTATGCAGACTTCTTGCTTGGTGCCGTCACTTCACTCCCTGAAGAGCTTTTGAAATCTATGCTGGCTGCCACGGAAGAGGTTGCTTGCGAAGTTTGCTGGGTCGGATATGTGCAGGCATTGCAAACCAGCCGTACCGACGAAGTCCGATCACTCCTCGCAGCTAAATTCATATCTGTGTGCTGTGCAGTTTCTCAGGCGAAGAACCACATTGAATGTTCTACCCGATTGAAGGAATACTTATTCAGTAGCTTAGCAGAATTGAGCCGGAGTCAGGATCTGCTATATCATGCAATCCGTGCGATGTTCTGTCTCTTCTCTAAACTTTCAGACGATTCTATTCAGGTTTCACGGCTATTCTTTGTTCAGTTGGTCAGATGCCTTTTCCTAAACTGTAATACATCGCAAGCTTTGCACCATCTTCCTGTCATTCTGGATGCAAGTATCCAAGGTTTTCAGCAAATGTGGCACTCAACAGAACCGCTTCGAGATGTTGCGGCTTCCCAGTTCTATACTCCGATAACCAATCCATCTAATTATTCCTATTGGGTTGCCACACTGCAAGCCTTGATAGCATGGCAAGAATCACATTTTGATCTGGTGAAGAATCCTGATACTCCGGAATTTCGTCAGTATGATCTATTGCTAACTCGACTACACGCACTTGAGTGGCTTCCCGGTCCACGATCACCACCGACTAGATCCGATAGCAAAGTTTGCCCCATTTCGCAGCACACACATCGGGTTCGATTGCTCGCTTTGCGCCTTGTTGATGCCTGTCTTTGTGTCACTCGTCAGAAGAGTCTTGACGTTCAACTACAGATTCATCCAGCCTATTTATTGGCTAATCAAACCACGGAGGCCGCATGTTCGCTTACCATACTCTTGTCGGCCATGATGTTTGTCGTCGGAGACGAGGCGGTGATAGAGGATGTTCCGATTACGGAACAACAGAATCTCAGCTCTCGTGGTGCTACGCACCAGCGCAAGCGGCGTCATCGTCAAACGCAACGCCAACAACGGTATGGTTTATTAGGATGGCTATTGACCAGTCGTCTACTGCCTTGGTTGTGTAACTGTTTCAAGTAAGTCTGCTTGATTGATTTTCTTTGAAGAAAAGTTTATGCGATTTCAAATTATTTTTGGGGAGGGGGGGGAGCAGTTATCTTTCAATGCTAATAACACTTATTAATTTCCTACGAAATTACAACAACAGTGTCTCCAACCATACGGTTTCAGAGTCTTTTGGACCCCAACCCGGAAGACGAGAGACACCTACTCTACCTAATCGCTCTGTGCATTTCTCCATGCCTAGTCTCCACGTCATTTTCTGGCCTCCACATAGCTTTCTCCAGCCTGTAACAGACACTGCAAACAAGACGCGCTGTGGTAGGCGACCGTCTGACGTACGCAAAACGTGTCCTAACCAGCCTGTTGAGCTGGATTCGATGCGATAGTGAGTTCTTGTTTGATGTATTCCCAAACACCCGACGATTTACTTCTAAGTTACTAACCCGCTCACTTCATCCAACCTGGACCAGACTACGTAAGCATAGATTGTCGAACACTGCTAAACGACGGGTGTCTAATAGTTAGACACCACGTCAAGGTGCAGTTTCGTCGTGATGGCATGGACTGGATGTGGTTGATCACCTCAAGTCACGGTTTAATTTACCGGTCCTGATGAATGAACAATCGGTCTTGTCGTTTAAGCCTTCCCCTGTTCATCACATAGGGGTGTGCAATCAGAAGAGGTACGATTCAGCGAAAAGCAGTCGGTACACACTTCATGCTCAAACCAAAATAAGTTGTTCACCTCTGATGTCAGTAAGATTTACCTGTGGGTGGGATCCCGCCAGGGTGTGCAGGCCAAAGAGACTGAGATTCCTTGGGGAAATCACGGCCGGAGCCTTTGGCTAGCCGAAACCTGACCTACAAGACAGCGGTGCGGCATGTGAAAACCGTGATCCATTGAACAGCAGACGGGTAAAGCCCAGTGGTTTTGAAGATCTATTCAACGATGGTTACCTACAACCTAAGCCCGTGGGATTCGAGTGGTGAACCATCTAGGGCCCCACTTGGTTAGGTCGACGACAAAAAGCTGCCTATCATCAGAAGTGTGCTTACCTTGGGCAATGTATCTGTAGTTGTTGGTTCTCAAAGACAACATGTGACATAAATGGAGTATTCAATTTTCTGCTGTTTGGGTGCTCGAGGACTAGGAAATCAAACTCCGAAGTCTGGCTTGAGCTGTCATTTCCACTAATTAGATTATTTGACTCAACAATTTGATCCAGAAGACAATAGGGCGTTGCGTTCAACGCTGGACGGTACCGAAGCACCCATGTGCGAACTTTTACATACCTACCACGTAAAGCTATTAGGCTTCGGTTTTATGCGTTGCTCGCTTGTGCGTCGATTATCTGTTCGCTTTTCGGCGGTGATGATTCTAAGCCCTGTAGCCCAAGGAGGCGGGCGGAACATGAACAGGACACTGCTCATCGTTCAGGGGCTTTGGTGTGATGAGTATCTGATACGAACACGTCCTGTTTAACTATCGTACTCTGTGAGCACATTCAACTTTTTTGATCTCCGCCATCTATCCAGTTCTCAATTGTGGCTCTAAAACACTTAGACATGCATAAGTGGACAAACCCCTGCAAATCACTCGATAGATGGACTAAAACTGGTTGAGAGTAGTCGAGGCGTGGTTGAAATGGCATGAAACCCACAAAGACAGCTAGCATATAAAAATCAAATAAGATGCACTGCCTAATGCACCGACTACTAAGACAGTTCGTTCAACCACCAGGAAAATATGGATCCCTGGGCTAGGTTCACATCTATCGAAGGATGAACGGGCTTCTGGGGGCGCCGCCAGCACGCTAGTTGGTAATAAGATATCATAACTTATCGATCATCACAAGATGGTTCGCGAAAGGACAGTAGATTTTAATGCTATTCTCAGAGGCACTTATAGGTTGGTATCTAAATCGGGTTTGTCAGTGCATTTCCAGAACGTGAAAAAGATTTCAGAACAATGGAGGTTTGTTTTTCTCCGTTGTAGATAAATTCGTCAATAGAAGACGATTGCGTCTACCACGAAATATGTTGACACCAATGTATCTGCGCTCTGTAAGAACAGTGGAATTCAAAAAATTCTGGACAATAGGCTTTTAGGTATTAGGTTTAGGGAATTCTCTTTTATTGTTATTTTTTGTTCTCTTTCACTTGCGTTTCAGTTCCTTCATTTGTTTTTTTTTCTGTTTTTTTATCCGCATAGATCACTGGATACACTTGTTCGTAAAAATAACGGTGTTCCCCAGACTAGTGCTCTTGTTGTGGATCGACTGGCCGTACTTATTACGGATATCATCATCCTCGGCAGCTATCTGTTCTATCGGTTGAAAAATACACCCGCAACACACCTTACCGAGCTACGTAAAGTGTTATTCGATTCCGGACGCCGCCTGATTGAAACAATCAGTACTTCTTCGGCTCAATCTCACATGTCTGTAGAGGCCAGACGAGTATGTTTGACTCGTCTTTTCGCTTTTGAACCGAGCCAAGTGTTGCAGCTCGTTATGGACACGAAAGACGCCACCGTTGCACTCGATCGTTCGGTTGTTGCACCCACTATTCTGTGGCCGGACTTCTCCTTGCATGATCTTTATAGTCAAGCCCTTCTATTAGCTGAACAAACTGTCCCCCGTCTACCGACTTCTCTTGTACAGCAGTATCGAGAGTTTTGTAATGCTGAATGTGTAACTACTTCCTGAGCTGAATCAATTGATTGTTTCTGATATGCAGTAACATAAAAATACCTCTCCTTTACTTCCTATTTTGTACAGATAAAAGTCTTTTTATATTAAAATCGTGTTTTTTTCAAACAAAAAGCTGATTGGTTTTCAAATGACTGGTAATGTGCTATTGTAAATATTTTGCGATTCTAAATTTTCCCGTGCATTTCCCATACTTTCCAGTGAACGCGTCCGGATAAGCGCCGTTAGTTACCAGCCATCGTGATTTTATCTAAAATCACTGAAAACCAATTGTTTGATTCAATAGACATTTAGATAGCTTGAGTAGTCGTATGAGAGAAATTTCATCGGTTTAGATTGACTTCATGAACTGGCGATTAAGTGTGCCAATGATAATGGTTGTCGTTAGAAATAATCTGAATAAATTTATGTAGTCCACCCAGTTCCCCGAAGGACGCATCCGCGGGGTTTGAGCGGAAACTGTTCAGATTCTCTAATTCTACCGGATTTCGCCATCCACTCCGTTGCATTCAACCACCAGCGTGTCTTCGTAAAGGTAGCCTCCAGTCGGGGTATCGCGTGTCTGTTGAGTGTGCCTATCGCAGACGAACAATAGATGTTTTTTTGGCAAACCACTTTATCAAAAACAAACTCTACTAAAATTGCTGTCAGATAAAAATACATACTAATACTTGCAAAATATTCCATAAAGACGCCTAATTCGCGTTTGTTGCGGTTAGTAGCTAGTAGAATCTAGCCTACCTACAAAACATCGATTCATAGTGTTAATTCTTCAGTGGAATGGCTCTGAAATAGCTGTCAAAAAAATTTAACCGGTGTTGTAAATGAAATTATTGTGATAAAAACAAAAACACTTCCTGGGTGCAAATATATGAATGAGAAGACAAAAGACTACCGGATGTACACGCCTGACGAGCGACAAGAACCGCGAAACCGGCCGCGTGCTTGCAGGGAAATTTCGTCCAATCATTCATATACTACTTATATATATATATATCATAATATTGGCGATAGCAATACAACCAGTGCGAATCAATCCCTAGGAATTTATTCATTAGACCTCTGTCTCTTCATTGAACTCTGGTTATTGAATCATCGATTTTTTTAATGTTGTTTCCAGACCTAATCATGGCTGTCCCATTGCCAGCAGTTGCAGAACGTATGAATAATCCCAAGAATCCGGTTGTTTTCTTCGATGTTACAATTGGTGGCCAGGTGAAGTTCGAAAAGCACTTTTTTCATTATACATTATACTCCTAGTATAGAAATATTTTCCTCCTTCNTCCGGCTTGTTTTTTTTCTTTGGAAGGGCGGGGGACTAACTTGTACCTCGCTATCAAATTGTTCACTTATGCTACTCGTTCTACCCATGTGAGCACTCATCAATGGTATTCGTTGCGTGATAGTCGCCTTGCAGATGCTTTCGCTTCCATCAAGTATACACATACTGAATTGTCTAGCAAGTGTACTCACCAGATTTCACTCCGATCGAAAACAATCGAGATTTCATGAACAGAGGCATAAAAAGTAAGATATTCCAAACCTTAAGAACCTGACAGAGTCTTGAAAAACAATACTAGAAATCCGGGTCGCAAGGTTATATCCATAAAGCGGA